CAATTCTCATGAAAATTGGAGGTTGTTACTTTCTTTTGCTATCATATCAATAGCTTTTGCAAGAGAAATCTGACCATTTAATTAATTAGTTGCCTTGTGATTGAATGTAGACTAACCATTTATTCAGTAATGTTAAGGCCTTCTATAAATCCTGTTATCTTGTAAGATCTCTGTGGAACATTATGAAGATTCAAATTTGTTTAGTTGCACAGAAATAGTTTAATCAGGAAATTAAAAGCATCAACCATCTCAATTTGCAATTTCCATGCTTTTTTTAAGTTCTATGTGAACGACCTATATAACATGGTATCCAAAAAAATGCATCTTATTTATTTTGGAAAACTTTAATACAACAGGTCAAAACCTCAACCAATAGCAGCTGCTAGATATATCTATAATGGCTCCAGATTACAGTTTCAAGTGTGAAGCTCTCTAACCATTATTGGGAAATTACCGTGCTGTAACTTGACCTAGAATTTTGTGTTGTCATCAACATAGTCAACCAATAGCTAAAGCAAGTGATTGATAAAGTGTTTATTATATTTAAAAGCAAGTGAGGTATAGAGCAAAAGTTGTAACATTTCAGAGAAAATATAATGAGTATATATTCATATTCAATCAACTCTATAATCAAATCATTACAAGAAAAAAAAAAACGCTATATAATCTATACTACTATTAAAAGTGTGAGTGAGAGTGTAGAACTTTTGTTTGACTAAATTACAATTTTTGAATATTGTCTTTGTCTAGTTGTAAGGACATAAATGTAATTTGAATAATCACTTTTTTCCTTATTGAAATCCCTCTCATTAATTCTTATATTCAAGGCATTAACTCCCAACATTCATTGAAATATATTTTTGAGTAAAATACCCTTATTTTTTAGTTTGGTCCATCTATAATTGTGAGAGCACAAAGTTTAATTTGAAAACTACTACATTTATTTTCACTCAATTCCCTCTCATTATGAATTATTATTAAGTCATAAAAGTGTGAATGAGAGTGTGAAACTTTTAATTAATTAAAATATCCCAATGTTTGAATTTGGTTCATGTCTAATTGTAAAGACAGAAATGTACTTTGAATAACCACTTTTCTCCTTATTCAAATCCCTCTCATTAATTCTTATATATATTTAAGGTATTAACTCCCATTAACATTTATTAAATTTTGTTCTTGACTAGAATACCCCAATTTTTGAATTTGGTTACTCTCTAATTGTGAGGGCATAAAATGTAATTGAACTATTACATTTCTCTTCATTAAATTCCCTCATCAAATCTTATATTTAGGGTTTTAACTCCCATTCTTTAATTAATCTTATATTTAAACTATTCTTTTAACAAAATATATAAAAAAAAATCTATCAATTAGATCTACATCCAATACATTTATCGATATGAAATAAATAATTTTTAAATCGACAAAAAAATGAAATCGTTTTTCCATCCTGGTGGCAAGTAAGTAATTCAATTATCTGGGTTAAGTAGGTCAATCTATGATGTTATAATAAAATAAAAAATTAAAACAAAAACAAATAAATAAATATAAAAATAGGGAACACACACACACAAACACACACACGCACACACACACACACACACACACACACACATATATATATTAATCATATTAAAAAATAAGTGTGATAAAACCAATCCAAAAATAAAAATTATTTTTGTGGTGGTAGGTCAAAAAATTCAACCTTTGAAGTCAAATGTGTCAACCCTTGATATCATAATTAAATAAAAAATAAAAAAAGGTAAAAACAAAAAACTATTATATAATAAAAAAATGTAAAAACCATTTAGACACCTACCTAATATTTTATATTAATCATATTAGAAAAATAAGTATGATAAATAATAGTTGCCTTATTGATATATGTTGGAAATAAAATATAAAACTTCAAACAAACCCAAAAATGAAATTGTTTTCCTGATGGGGGTCAACAGTTCAACCTTTTGGATCATATGTGTGAACCATTGATCTCATATAAATAATAAAAATTAAAAAAAGATAAAAATATGAAAATATAGAAACTCTATAGAAAACATTTGAACAAATCCATAAAATACAAAAATCAAAACTAACCCACAAGTATATAAATTATTATGTAGAAAACATTTAGATATATCTCTAATATTTTATATTAATGAACCATATATACTAAAGAAAAATAAATGTGATAAATAATAATAATTTATAGACAAAAACATAGAAAGTATAATTTGAAAACATATTATATATACTATCGTCATCACCATCATAAAAAATTGCAACGTGAAAATCACCTACCACACTTACTAGTCAAATAAGCTCAAGAAGATTGCTCCACCAGTTGCCACAAACTACAGAAAACATTAATGTAGATGCTGCAACAAACAACGGGCCTAGATAATTTAATGACACTAGAGTTTCTAGCATTGCAGATATAGTGAGGGAGGTGTTGAATTGTAGATTGAGTGTACCAATTCCCTTTTATAATCGTAATAAAAATGGGAAATGTATCTTTACGATATCTTTCTGCTATTAATAAAATTGCAATTCATATCTTTAAGATATCAAACCAGCAAATTAAAAAAGAAAAATTGATAATTACAATGAAATGAGTAAGTGGAAACAGGAAAAACAAATGATGTACATTTATAAGAACGTAAAAGCAGCTCAATAGTGATGGGATAGGGGACATGTAAAATAGGACCAAAAAATTCTAAACATAGTGATTATCCAGACTTTTTTTTTTTTTTTTTGGGGGGGGGGGGGGGGAAGGAAAAAAAAGGAAATTTGTGGAGTACCCCCCAATTGTCAAAGCAGAATCAAGAACTGAAAAAACCGAAAGACGAAATTCTATCTTGATCTGGCTTCATAATTTCAACTGATCTTGTTCCCCAAGGCCCCGCCCGAATCACAAAATTTTACTGGCACATTTTTTTTTTATAAAATTTGTTCTTTGCTGCCCTAACTTACCAACTGAAAGTCTTCTTTAGAGAAGATATATAACATGTAATTATTTAGGATTAGTCATTGCAGACCTAAAAACACTGACTCCATTAGGAATCGCAATGGGGCAGGGTGGCAATGGCTTCCCATCACCATCCCTTTGAAAATCTCTATCTCCGTCCCCATGGGATCCTCACTCGTGATTTTTTTTATGATGTTAATTATTTTTTTGTCATTTTTTATTTCATTTAAAAAAATAAATAAAATAGTTAAAATCTATAATCCTATATAAAAAAGACTCAAATATATTCAATCATATTTTTAAAAATATTAATATATATATATATAGATACATGCATACATAAGTAGGGATTCCCATCAAACTGGGATCGAGGGGCCGTGGGGTGGGGAGTACTCTCCTTGTCCTTGAGGGGGGAAAATCATCTCCACCCTGGATCATTCGGGACAGATCCCCCAGGAATAAGAGAAATGGGGAGAAAATTGCCATCATTGTTCCTAGAACTAAGTTTTGATAGAGTGTATTTATCCAAGTTGCGATTGACTCTTAGAGCTAAGTTTTGATGAGGTGAAACAGTCTACATATGAAAAATGTTAAACGACGTTTTCCATGACTAATATGTTAAGCTAAATTCCATAACTAATATGTTAAGCTCAAGTGTCAAACTCTCACCATGGGTTTGATAACATTACTTTTTTAAAAGAAAAATAAATTTCCTAAACTAAAACAAATATACGGCATTTATGTTGTTTGCATATGATATTCAAGATGGTTTTCTTTTCATATTTACCACCATTGGACCCCTAATCCTCTTGATATTTCACCACCAGCTTTTGTAGGAGTTGAGGTTTTTCAACTTCCAAACTTTGATATATTGATGCATCATCAACTAGTAAATTTCTTCCCTATTTGACAAAGTTCATGATATATCTCTTCCTACATCCTCTGTTGTTTTACTTTTATTTCAATAATAATTACTTGTTGAGGAACCATGTAAAATAGTTCCACATACAATGAGTGAGTTCGGCCAAGATGATATTTCATTCTCTTAACACCTCAAGCATTTTTTTTCTATTTCTTTTATTCAAAAATTGCATGTAGGATCCTTACAATTCCCATCTTTAAAATTCAAAACAACTAAATAAATTAAAAATTTTAAAAATGAAAATTTGAAGGGCTAATGGATGAAAACCACTAAATAAAAAGGTGGGGTTATTTATTACTTATATGACCATTAACCCAAAATAAAAATATATGGATTGTAAGGTAAACATGTGGCAAATTCAGTTAGCCGCCCTATCAGATAGATGGCTTGCATGGACCACAGAATCTTTTCTATGTGAGAGAAATAGTGAAGTTCTTGTAAATAAACTTCCTACTTAAGAAACTTAATTTGTTCCTAGAGACTTTTAGATTTGACCAGTATGTAGTGGGATCCTGTTTGCTATAGAGTGTATTAGCAAAATCTTTCTAGGTTTTTGTGCCTCAAGTTGTCCACCCTTGTATTTTTCCAAGCTGGCACTTGCTTGGGATAAGGATAATTAAAAGCAAATTACCACGTGGCTATGGTTTGATCTGGCAAAAACTGAAAGTGGAAATTCATTGGGGAGCAATGTTGTTAAGAGCACTTGCACAAGCAAAGCCACTTACCCCAAGAGCTCTCAACCGTCCGATCTTTTCCCATATTGGGGTTGGTATTTGGGTAGGATCACTGACAGCCCTGTTATTAGGGTTGAAAATAATGGAGGGTTCCGATGAAAATAACAAACATATTATATATGGTTGAGAGCTGCATCATGCAGTTACTCTGCATGGCTGTCTCTATAATTATGTCTTTTTTCACTCATGGTGTCCACCCTACAAAGCTCCTAAGCAAGTGTTCTCTGCAACAAAACCCTATTTATTATTAGCCAGAACGTTAATTATAAACAAAATCATAACGCCAGCTTACATCTCCGTAATTCTGTTTTCTTATGAATAATGAATTAATATTTTTACACAAAATAATTAATCTTTCTGCCAAAAGAAGCCGTTACAGATGAAAAATCCTCCAGCTCTGTCTATAAATCAGGTTGTCACCGTCTACCTTCTCCCACCGCCGCAGCTCAGCCCATATCAGACGCCATCAAAGCTCTCTTTCCGTCTCCGGCCGTCTCCCTCACCAGGCTGCAGTTCAGCCGGCATGCATACTGACCACTACACCCAAGAAATGGCTGAGAACGTCGACAGAATAAGTGACTTAATTGATCCCATCCTCGTTTTAGTTCTCTCTTCGCTGCCCAGTAAGCATGCTGTAAGAACCAGCGTGCTGTCCAAGAGGTGGAGACACCTTTGGGCCGAGATCCCTTATCTGGATTTCGAAGAGAGCCTCTTCATCGATAACCAGATTCCTCCACCTCCATGCATCACGTCACTTCCATGGCTGATGCATGTGAGGAATGAAGGAAGAAGAAGGTTTGTTGCTTTCGTCCATCGGATGCTCCTCCTGTACAAAGGTAAAACGATATTCAGATTCAGACTTCGATTTTGTTACGACGGTGAGCATGTCAACAATATCACTCAGTGGATTGGGTTCGCAATCGCAAAACAAGTCCAAGAGCTTGATCTAGATTTCTCAGGGGCAGGCTTGGCGCAAGACTCTCGAACTGGGTACCGTCGTTACGAGCTGCCCAACTATCTCTTTTGTTATACATCCTGTAGTGTTCTGAAGCTGAATTTTTGCCAATTCAAACCATTCTCGTTCAAGATTTTCTCTTTGCTCAGGATGCTATCCCTGATACGTATCGAATTGAGCTCAGAGCTGCTCCTTAGAGTGCTGACAAATTGCTCAGTCTTGGAGACTCTGCATCTTGAGAAGTGCCATGGTTTAAGTCATCTCAAGATTTCCGATTCAAATTTGCGCCTTGAAAGCCTGAGAATACACGATTGTAGGCCACTTTCTCAGGGTGTTGACATTTGTGCCCCGAAGCTCCGGTCATTCAAGTACTTTGGCCATATAGTACGCTTTGGACCGGAGAAGATGTTGTCTCTGCATGAAGTAAGCCTTGATTTTGGGCTTCAGACTTTGCTTTACGACCAAGATCAGAAGCTGGGGAAACTTCTACTTCATCTGGATCATGTGAGGGTAATGTCGGTTTGTTCTTACTTGATTCAGGTAACTTAACTTTCTTGCTTTTTTCCTGTTTATCTTTATGGAAATTCTCACTGTCGTATAAGGGACTAGCTAGAATGAGGTTTATCACCAAGTGAAGTGGCTCAACTGAATGACTTATTGTTTTGCCTTTTTAATGAAGAAGTTATTAATTAGGGAGGTTGTGAACTCCTTAATGACTACTAAAACAATGAAATTGAATAGAAAATTAATGCTAGATTCTTTCAAGATAACGTCATCTTCTCTTGACTGCATTATCACTGCATCTAACCCCCTTCTTTCATGCAACATTGTCTCAAGGTTCTGCCTGCAGAGGGACAATGTCTACCAACTCCACTGTGTAATCTCCGGCATTTGACGTTGAACACCATGTTGGATAACCATGAGCTCCCAGGCATCAGTTTCTTGCTAAGGAGCTCCCCTAAACTGCAGAGCCTCTCAATAGAACTGGGACTTGGGCGCGAGATCAAGGTGCATTTCTTGCTAGCTAGCATATTACATATACCATTAATAATTGTCATAAATGCTCATTTTCACACTGTTTTTCTTCATATAATTATTTTCCTGTTAAAAACTTTAATGCATGAACTTGATTTTCCAGGGCTACAATCCACCACGTATGGACATGTCTTTGGTGGGTGGCGACTATTGGCAATCAGAGGAGCAACCATTTGGCTGCATACTAAACCATCTCGAGTTTGTAAGAATAAATTGGTTCACAGGAGCGGAGAATGAGATAAGTTTAGCAAGATACATTGTTAAGAATGCAATGGCCTTGAAAAAAATGATCATCCATATATGTCAGGATAGCACTTTGGACGAGATTAACTCAATGACTTCAAGGCTTAGCAGAGAAATTCTAGATTGCCCAAAAGCCTCTCCGGTTGCAGAACTATTAATTAATTAATCAACTGAAATGTTGACATTTTTGTACTTATATGGATAAATGAACTCTTATTGTATATCGTCAATAGGATACTTCTGTTACTTATGTGTAACAAAAACAATCCAAACCGTTGTTCTATAGCGCAGTTTCATTTTTTAAAGGTGTATGAATATCTTCATTTCACACATTTTGTTAACTCAATGTAAAATATGTAGATCAAACTGCTAAACCTAACCCGTAGGCTTTAGGGTTTGGTTCGGTTTTGGTTTCCAGTTTTTCAAAATACAGTAGTACCAGTTCAGTTTGAAAAATACCCTATGGTTCTATTAACTAAATTTTGAGCACCCCTGTGTTTTATACAATATTTTAATCACATTTACGTGGAAAAATAATGACGTACATGTCTAAGTGGCATATTAAATCGGTCATGGCAAAAGGTGAAAATGGGTTCAAATTCATTTATATAATAAAGAACTTCATTTGATATTGTACGTATGATGTATAAAGTTCTATGTACATGAGTTATACATTTTTTTTTTTTGGTTTTATTTTAAACACAGCACATGTTAAAGAACAAGACTTTTAGGTGGAGTTTTAGAACACACAACACTATAACATGCAGAACAGCACCAATGGTGTGGTGACTGGTGAATTCTAGATCTATATATGATTTTAAAACACACCATGGTGGGGCTAGACCTCACAATTTTTGTAGCCATATATATGACGAAGGGTAAAAGTGTTACACCAATTATTCATCGTTATGTGGACATGTAAGGCCACAAAGGATCACCTCGGCACCTTACATGGCAGCACCTTGGGTAAGTATCCACCAGTAGGGGTGTCAATGGACCGGTTTTGGGTTAGACCCGTCCAATCCAAAGGTGTTATGGATGGACCGTATGGTCTAAATAGTTGCATGAACTCGGACTAGTCCAAATTTAAGTGGACCATATATAATGTAGACCGAATTTGGACAAAGCTGCTGAATCAAAAGGTCCGGTTCCATTTCGTTTGAACTTTCTACAAAAGGTTTCTCTTTGGCGGCCAATATTCCTCGAATTCCGACAATACTTCCGATGACATTCTCCTCTCTCCAGTGGTCTATATTTAGTTGTTTTCTCTCGTCTCTCTCTCTCTCTAGCAAATAGCAATGGTGATCATCATTCCATCATTCTAGTGTTATTGGGCGACTGACGCCACTCCCCAGTCTCTCCTGTGATTATCTATCTCGTCTCTCTCTCTCTCTATCTAGCAGTAGACTCCTCGCTCATTCAGGTATTTCCTCTCTCCTTTATCATTCCAAACACTTTAGTTTTTGTATTGTTTTTTGTTTTGGTTTTAGCTTTTGTTCCTAAACTGGGAAAACTTGAATAGGTTTCAATGGAACCAAATCTAGTTCTTGATGCTCTGTTTTCTATATTGTACAGTTTCTATGCTCATATTATTTCCAATGCCAACATCAAAATAGGATATTTTCATCAGGATAAGATATTCCAAACACATTTATTTCTCTGTTTTTTAATTATGGAATAAGACACTAAATTAGACCTTTTTTTAGAATTTGTCACTAATAATAGGAATCTGGATACTGATCTTATGCTTGATTACATTTAATATTAGTCTCTCAGATGATAAAAAATGTTCAGTTGATCTAGTTACTAATCTCATTCTTGTTGACAAAATAGAATCAACTCTAGTTTAGTAGGCTTAAGTGATTAACTGCATCTCTAGTTTTGTGCCAATAAAGAGATGTTGAGGCTAATGTGTTTTTATGGTTTTGGTTGGACCCTATCCAAATCAAAACCAATTTGGATGGGTTGGATGGTCCAATAAGATAATATTGAATTGGACTAGTTCAAACTTAATGGATTTGGTTCATCTGTAATGGACTCATATCAGATTGATATGCCCTCAGCTCCAATCAGATTGATATACTTTTGGCATTTATTGTAAATGAATATAAAACATAATTGATTCGTGTTATATATGGTGTGTTTCTGTGTAATACCCTTAAAGTGGACACTTATGAGACTCGTGTTAGTTTAGAATCTTCAAAGCCATTGGATAGACCTGGGGAGGTTTATTCTGCCAAGGATGACACTAATGTGATGCCAAGTCGGTTGGAGTGGCTTGTCTCAGTTGTTAGGGTGAGAACTCAAGCACATGTAGTATGGGTTTGATTGAAACTCTAAACAGACCGTTTTCTAGTTATGCCTTGGACCTTGGAGACAGATGGGAAAAACTGAAAAGTTACACCTAACCCCTAGACTCGATTATGCTACTACACTAGGTGTTGGATTGAGTTATCTTTGATATGCCAATCAGTGAGATCCTTAGCGGGGGTCAAAACCTAGATATGTTGGGGCAGTCTAAGAATTCACCTGAGTGGGTGATCATAGTGACAGAATCAGCCCCTTTGTCGGACAAAGTGAATGATCGGGGACAACACTCTCTTTGGTGGAAACCCAAACTGCCGGCAATGGATTTCAAATGTGTTTGAAATTTGTTTTGCAATATATAAAAAAGGTTTGCAAAGGTTTTAATTCCCATGATCCATCCTGAGTAGAGAGTGTGACAATGAACCTTGCAATCGAGGGAGAGGTCCTCTCTTGTCGAGTAGTGTTTGATCATTATGGGTTAAGAGGTTAAGCGTAAGACCTTTTAAGGCTTTTACCTTATGGGCTAATCTCACTTAAGTCCATATTCCTTAGGCCTTCATAAGGTGGCTGGACCCAATGACCATTAGTGTTAATGTTGGGCTTTCTAAGAGCCCATACTGATGGGCTCAGGGGTTTACTGTATTCAGCAATGAATTTAGCCAGGCCTTGTAACAGAGGCTAAACTGAACCCATATGGCTTTTGTGAAGATCAATGTTAGGGTCTTGATAACTTAATGGGCCTAAAGCCCATTTCAAACTAGGTTAATTTAGTTAATTAAATATGGGCAAATTTGAGATTAGATTTTCTTATGGATCAGCAAGAGGATAAGATATGTCTTATCCACTTAAGAGTTCAGATCCAAATAAAAATTTGGATCAAAGAACCCTTTCCTAATAGGATTAGGAGGCTAATCCATAGAGTTTATAAATAGAAGGTGAAATCCTTCTATTAAACACTTTTTGCATATCCAGTTATTCTCTTTGTTCTTGCCGCCCTACCAAATTTGGTCTCCATAGTCTTGGACTGATCAAGAATTGTTCTTGATTCTAATTCTTGCTAGAAGAATCAGATCTGAAGTTGTGCTCACATCCCTTGCATGATCCTTCCTGAAGGATTGCAATTCTTGTTGAAGAATTGATTTACTGATCCTGCCTTATCCTAAGCTGTGTCATATTTAGTGGAGGTGAGATTTGGTGATCTCTTTAGGCGTGAACACCTACATTGGGAGCTACTTTCATGGATTTCGTATCAGGTATATCCCTCCCTTAATCTTGGTTACAGGTCTAGTCCGATTTGTTTCAAGAATGAACCTTGAAAAATGCAATTTTTCTAAAATAGGGAATATGATTCCTAAAAGGGAGAATTTTTTTTTTTTTTAAATTTCGCCCAACCACCCTGCATGGTTCGACCATCCATATGATGGATCTCCCTTCCCTTCAGAACCAATATCCAATCCATTGACATCCCTATTTGTAAACAATCTCATTGCCTTATGGAATCACTATTTCCCAATTACTATATTTGTTTGTTTTGTTTAATCTCTTTTAAATTCAATGCGAACAACTAAGCTTATTTACTATTTGATGAAGGATGATTTGACCCGACCTATGAAATGGCGACAGGTGGACGTCGACTCAGCGTAAGCGACAGCTCAGCATCGTGTTCCGATACGGTTAAGTAATAGGCCCATAAAGCAGCCCGCTATGTGGTAGCGAGGTAAAGGAGGGGCTCGCCACAATGCAAGCTCCGAGTTCCCCGAGCTACCTCAAGGGATATTCCGAGGACCAATTCTACTAAGGGTACTTCTGAAGTATTCAAAGTTCGTTACAGAGTAGCTCGCGAACGGGCCGCACAAGCTTCCCTTAGGAAGCTTCTAGTTAATAAGTCGTACCTGTCAGACTGGGCCACGTCCCTAACTGACGGCGCAGTCCCTGTCCTTTCGACAATCTGCGCCCACGTCTCTCAGTAGGCGGAGGCATGCCTGTCACTTTGGGATGTGTCACTCTCCCGAGTAAGGAGTACGTCCCAACAGCCACCTGCGCAGCCCTGGCAAGTAACGGGTGTGGCAGGGACCCAGTGGCGGTTATGCCCGATCTCGCAAGAGCACTCCTATAACAGCCCCCCAGGGTAGAAGAGAATGGCTCTCTTGAGACCTCTAATCTCGAGAATATAGTGATAAAACGCAACCTCCACTCTTAGCTTTCGTTTCTCTCTTTACTCCCCATACACAGTACTAACTTAAGCATCGGAGTATTCCCATCGGGCAAATCCCCGGGAATCCTTCCTTTCATCTTCTCAGGTGCCGGTCGTTGCCAGCGAGGAGCCAGTCAGTCGCCAACTAGGAGTGCCCGGATCGCACTTCAAAAGGCCTTCCCCTTTAAATTCTCAGTTACTTCTTCTTCCTTAAACACAACTCAGCGCTCATGGCTTCCCCTAGCAACGTCGGACGAAGCATAGAAATGGGTAACTCCAGGGAGCAACCCCAGTCTCCTACTGTCTGTATCGGGCAGTTCACCATCCCCCTC